GCCCTCCTTAAATGATAGATGTTTAGAAGTGAGCATCAAAGGATTCTGTGTTCTTGCTTGCCTACTTGTTGTCTCTCCCTCCCCACCACGGAGTTCACATTTTCACACCTTGTCATTCATCCGTCTATATTCTCCAGAATGAATTCACACAATTTACAAAGGAAGGAAATAGTTTTCATCTTCTGCAACTTGCCTCATATGTGAAGTAATTATCTTGGTACAAATTAATTGAACTGCAGCTAGTTACCATGGAGTAGCTATAACTGGATCGCAAATATAGTTCTTGCTGTATTGAACAGATACTTTACAAGCTAAAACCAGTATGTAGTCCGTGCAGATGCACAAGAGAAGGAAATGATTTCACTCAGCTCTGTAGAATCTTAACTTGCCCCACCCTTTCTCTCCAAGGAAAGGTTTAAATCTTGTAATTGCAGTGTAAATTCAGTTAGATACAAATCTAAAAAAAAGCATGGAAACTAAAGGAAATGTTGACTTTCCTGTTCCAGTGGTTCTATTGCAAATTGGTCATGACTTCCTTACCTGGAGTAGGCCCAAGTGTGTGTGCACCTGTGCTTTAATTGAGGGACCTTAAAAGAGACACTGGAGATTTAAGATTTAAACAAGATAAAACCAGAGTGATGGGGGCTAAAAGCCGCTGTAAATACAATCCATAACACTACAGGGTTAATTCAGGTAAGCAGGGAAACTTGTAGTATAAAGCTTGACATGTGTTTAAAAACTATTTGAATTTGTTTCTTACTCAAAATAATAGGGCTGTTTCCTCACCTGGGCTGATGTGATTAAAGGCAAGGAATTAGTAAAAACAGGAGAGGTTCATACATTGTACTAAGTCATAATATGGTTTGTTTAGATTTGGATTAAGGTAGCATGTTGGGTTAACCAGTCACACACCATCTACCTGTCTTTCACTGTAGACCCCCACTGGGTTTATGCCATGAGACCTATATTTTGCTTTGGTGAATAGATAACAAAAATGTAGCGTATTTTTGGTTCTTGAGGAGAGCTATTTTACCATCTTGTACCTCAAAGTGACAAATAGGAAAAAAAAATGGAAATTTGCAATTTGCCTAGCTTGTACAAATCATAGCCTATATATAGGGTTGCTGAGGATATTAATGTCTAATCTGCTCAAGTCCCTTCATTTTTAATTCACCATTTTGACTAATGGGTGACATCCCCGGTGTTTCAGGGTGTGTGTTTGAGATAATTACTGTTTTGATTGGGTTAGCTTGATTTTCTCTTTCCAACTTCTAGTCTTGTCTGATTATATACAGTGAAAATACAGAATTCCACATGTTGGACTCCGCTATCGTTACTCTTGATGTATTGCAGTTGCTAATGTAATGTTCTTTTCATACCGAGGATATTACATGAAAATGACCTCTTAATCACAAGCAGGTTTTTCACAGAAAAAAATCAGAAACCACACACACACACACACACACACACACACAAATACTGTTCTCATCCCAATGTATGTGCCAGCTCCAGGTTCTCTTCCACTTAGTAATTTTTACACATAACATGGCCTAGGATGATACAAGTTCTAAAAATGTGTGCTGCTTTCTAGCTCAATCTAATATCTTAACAATAGATCCCTAAGAACAACTATCGTGCATCCTTGTAGGCTTACCATGATGCATTACTTTCTCCATCACTTTTCCCTCCCTCTAAATAAGTTCCTTTGGCTCAGCTGGGGATTCTCCTCGCCTTCTCCCTCCTGAGCCAGATCAGCTGAAATGCGGTAATCTCATATATTTCACACCAGGTCTACAACATACATTTGGGGATTGAGAAAACAGATTGTATACAAATTAAAGGAACACAGAAAAGCATCTGCATAGATAATACTGAGCTAGATGGATTAATAGTCTTGATATAGCCCAACAGCAGTTAATTTATCTAGCTCAGTATTAGCCATAGCTAGGCCAATGTAGAAGGTTGTGCCCCAGGTGACATTCCATCACCACCGGGTTTCTTCTCCAAGTAAATGGAAAAACCTATGTGCGTTGCCAGGTGGGGGAAACTGACCTGCCAAATGGCTCTCCTTCCTCCCCATCAGTTTTTTTTTTCCCCAAGCAGGGATAATTCTTTCCCGGCTACCAAGTCAATGGTGCTGTTAACCTCCATTCACTTTGAACCGGGGGGGGGGGGGGGGGGGGG